TTAGTTTTGCAGAATCTTGAGAGCATTTTGGGAGAAAGTATCTGGATTTTTATTGAATCAGTTTAAGTCCACCTACAAATACTTGGTTAGTCATTAAGACTTCTTATTTTAGAAACTGTATTTCTTAAAAAATGTTTACTACCTTCTTAATGCTTTCCAGGAACCAGATCCCAAACTGCCAGTTTCTCAGGTAAAGGTTTAGCTGCGACCTTTAGTTTAGAGAATCCTTGCATTCCTACTGCTTAGTTGTTGCTCTAGATTAGAAAATTTGCTGCATATCTACTTGTGCTGTTATAACATTACCCATATTTCCCAGACATCCTGTACCTTCGTATGTAAAACTATTATATTTCAAACATTTTTGTGTCTGTGGGTGGATAGCCTTGTGGAATTAACGTACTTTACTCATTTAGACTTAGAGCTTCAATAGAAAAGACCAATATTGACTAGAAGGATGAGAAAAATAAAGGAGGCAGGGGGAACCAGGGAGCCAAGAAGTCAACAGAGCCAGAAGTGTCTGAAAACATGGACGGATAGGACAGTTCTGAGTAAGGAGTAGGCCAGCTCTGTCCTGCCAAGTGAGAGGGAATTTTAACTGGTTTTTAGGTAAATAAACAATTTGAACCTCATGTGAGATTTATATGAGTAATCATCAAAACTTTTAGAAGAAAGCATTATGCAAAGTACTTGAAGGAGGCCTGTGTAATATTAAGCAAACACTAAATAGGTTAAAATATGTAAGTTAATATGTAGCACTCTCTTCTTTTAAAGGTGACATTTGTCTTTGTAGTGTTCATAACAATTTCCAAATTGATAGATGGTGCCAAACTATTTTATGCATAATACATACAAGTCATTTAAGAAAGACCTAAATTATAAATAGTGCAAGTAATGTGCCTTTTGTTTTCAGTAATCTTGGAAGATTTTGATTAAAATGAAAGTGAAGTTAAAACATCAATAATTTGCATTTTGGTAAGCTTTTAAAACTAAATGGTATTTGAAAGTTTAAATTAGCACAGGGGCCTGATGAAGGACCTGTGTGAAGTGTGACTTTCCTGTTCTGCTGCTGTAGTGGCTAGTGATCCAAGAGAATAAAAAGGGAACAAGGCTGACGGGATTCTTTTGAGCTCACTATTCACACTTTTTGCCTTTCCTCTTTCATACATTTTTACAACTTCAAAATAAGTGAGACTTTACAATAACAATTCAGTATTTTGTGCCTGAGTTTTCATTTTCATTCCGTAGACAGTCAAGTGATAATGATTGTTATATTGGCCAAGCCAGTTTGGACAGACTCCGGTTGGTAGCTTTATCCTAATACTCTAGCAAATTGTTTCTTACATGTCTTAAACTATTGGCCTTGCATTCTGTATTAAGAGAGATGAGACAATTTAAACATGTGTTACTCAAACAGTGGATTTTTTTTTACTCTTCATACATTTATTTTCATAACTAAAAATTGGATTAACCTCATAAAAGATAGCACAAGTGAATCAATATTTTCCTGATGTTAGCAGGCAGATATTTTGCCTCAAGAGTAATGTCCTATAGACTAACACAGTAGGTGAATGAGATGGGATTATTTTTCACAGATGAAAAAAGAAATAATTGCTGTGATGGTTAGTCATTTAGATTGAGAGAATCTATGTTTTTCCATTTAGAATTTCCCTGAAGAAAATTCCTCAGCATCTATCATTTTTATTGATTTCATAGTGCTTCCAATGCATAGGCGTTTAAGTGTATTTACATAAACCTCATGGTACTGTCATTTATTAACAGGTTATATTTGGTAAAACCCATTTATGTTTTTATTCAGATTCAAAGGACAGTTTGGAATCACCAATTATCCTTTGTTATGCATTTAATTTTAATCACTGATCAGTTTTGAATTTATTTTTTATTCTTAAACAGAGGGCTTTAGGGCTGTAAAACATACTTGGCTTGTTTCCAAAATAAAGTTTTTATTTTTTTAAAGCCAAAGCCCCATCTGCTGTTTTCATTTAAAATCCCTAGAATTGTTCACATGGCCAAGAGCAGTTCTTGAATACAATCTGATATTTAATCAAGCAATGATATGTGATTTTCAGGGCCATTTTTTTGTTAAGACAGAAGACAAGTCAGGAAGATTAATATTCTCAAATACTGATGAAATAAATTTAAAATCAAATAATGGTTTAAGAAGATTTTATTACAGATGTTGAAATATAAAAAATTAATATCATTTCTACTTATTAAGAATTAGATTTTAGAAACTGAGATACAGATCTATTTATCTTTTGGAAAAAGGAAATTCTTAGGGAATGCAGTTTTTAAAAAGATGTTCCTGTTTGGCTTTTGAAGCATTTATCCTTCATATATGGGGAGGGAATAGTGGATTTACTTCATATATAGGGAGGGAGTAGTGGATTTACTTTTCTATGTTTTGCTTAGCCTAATGTAAAAATGTTTGCAGCTCCTTACTGTTTGAGAGGGTGGTAGGAGAGTGGATGTCCAGAAGCATGATGAATTGGACTGTGAGATAACAGGCTGAACATGAAAATAGTTTAAAAAATATGTGCATGGACAATTAATACCTAACTATATAAATGATACCATAATAATAAAAATTTGACTTTTAGAAAGCCAATTTAACTAGGACTCCAAATCACAGTTTTGAAGCTTTATTAACTCCTTATCATAAAGATAGAAATGGAGCTATTTCACTGTGGCATCCGGTGTCCATCATCTGTCCCTGCCTTTGTTTGCAGCTTTTTCTTTTGAATGCTGCCTCAGCTGAACCTGATCCTTCAACCATATTCAACTCTTTCGGAGTTGCCTAATGTGCTGTGAGCCCCCAAGCAAGCCTGCCTTTGCCCTGTTGTTCGCTTTGCCTGGCACATGCTTTCCCATTTTGGCTGCTGAACCAAATTCTTCTTTTCTACCCTTCTGCCACCCCCAGGCAGCTGGGTGCATTTCTCTGTCCTCCCATAACATGCTCCAGATTTTTATTACACTTTCCTTGTAACACTAGCTTTCTGATGAGCTAGAAGTAGGGTTGTGGCTTACTCATCTCTGTTCCCAGGACCTGGCATGCAGGGGACTCCCTGGTAATAAGGGAGTGAAAGAGGGGAACCTAATCCTGCTTTACCATTTCACCTGAAAATGCTGCAGTCCTTCCTGTCCACCAAAGGGCTGAGCAAAGAATGCCCTTTTGGAAAATCAAAGCCATCAGATACTTGCAGGGCAGGATGAACTGTGGGAACCTATGATAAATCAGGATGACTTATTTCCATCTTTGAAGTTAAATTAAAATTAGTCCAAGCCAGTGGTAACTTCCCTGACTCCTGAGAATACTGTGTAGTTCTGGAAACTTTCCTTATCTTAGGTGAGTGAAAACCTCACATTATTTCTGTGCTTTAGTGGCTCCTACAGTTAGGTGCAGATCCAACTGGAATTGATTTTTTTTTTTTTTACAAACATATTCTTTGAGCCCATATTCTGCTCATTCAATTGTGTTAAATCCACACATTTGAAGCCTTTTATTATAAATTATCTGATAAGAATCCAGTAAACCTCAACCAGAAAAGTACAAGCCAAAAAACCAATCACTGACCAAATGTAATTTCATTCACTTTAGGAACCTAAGTATGTTGTGAAGGCAGTCTTCTTTATTCCCCTTAAAATGAAAGCATTACAAATTTCTTTTAAAAAGTTTTTAAATATATACATTCACCACAAAACGATCCCCACTTTCTAATTCCTACATAACTATGTTCTTCACTACACACTTGTCACCTGTTCTGCACATCATTTAATCCGATAGGTGATGTGTTCAGGGAAATTAGGACTCATGTTTTAATCTTCTCATGCTTCCTTCCCAGAACCTAACCTAATGCTATGTAATAAGGTGATGCTCAGTAAGTGTGGACTGACTGACTACATCTTAGGTTCTTGAAAAGAGGACTTCTTGGACCTCCTGCAGCTCTCATCTGTCCCTCTCTCAGTCCCTTTGCCTCCCTTCAGCCTATTCATGGTTGGATCCCTAGTATCGTGAGCTCTGACCCTTCCCCACATTTCCCTTGTGCTGTTTCCTCTATGCTGTAGAGCCAGTTCTGGGCCACTGTTTCAAGGGATGCTTTCTCCCCAAATCCTCCACAGGACGTAGAGTGTTATTGTTCTCTGCCTCTATTCTATAGTGAAGCTGAGAGGTAAATATTTCTGATGAAACAATTTTAAATGTTTAGGTATTTAATTGTGCACACCTTTACATCTAACTGCTCAAGGTAAAGCCAAGCTGACAAGACATTTTTCAGATTCCTTAACTACCATTTCCATTTTTTCCCCACTTTCTAGCAGGTTTTCTACTGGCTAGATCTCAAAGCAACCAAGATTGTATTGATTAGTTACTGGGAGTTGGGAGAAATTGACCTTAGTTAAATTCAACATTTTTAGAATACCTATTATGTACAAAATCCATAGGTGTTAGGGAGAATTCACAAGTGAACAAGGTAAAAAGGTTTGTGTTCTGGGGAAGGCAGGACTACCATATGCTCAAATAATTGTAGTGTTTGTTGAATATGGTGAGTATGTAATAATGGAACTATGAGAAAGATGCGGGAAGTGGGCTTAGAGTTAAACCTTCAAGGAAGTCTTCCTGAAGGACTTGGCCCTGGAGGAGGAAGGCAGAAAGAGCACTGTGGTTGTAGATTTACTCATTTCAAATAGTTATTCTAGTTAAGAATTTCCCTAAAGGTCTTCTTTTACTTATAAAAAGGCATGTTAGAAGACTTTTGTTTTTTACCACAGTTTTGTTTACTAGTTAATTGATATATTGGTTGTTCTTGATTAATAATGACCTTACCTTCTCGTGTTAGTTACTTAACATAGCCCTGTAAGTTATTATAATGCATTAAGTGGTAAACACAATAAAAAAATTAGGTAATAAGGATGACTAGCTTCTATAGGCTATGCAGTACTTCTAATACTATTTAATAATGCTTTGTTTTATCCGTGCTTTATAGGCAGCTTGGATTTTGAAAGCACGAGCGCTAACTGAAATGGTATATGTAGATGAAATTGATGTAGATCAGGAAGGAATTGCAGAAATGACGCTGGATGAAAATGCTATTGCTCAAGTTCCACGTAAGTATTGGTGTTTTTAGTTAAGTAAATTAAATGCCATTAGGAGGAGGGATACTACATATATATATATATAAAATAAACACTAGACATTATATAGATGATACATTATAAACATATATATACATGAAATACATATATAATGATATATAATGAAAAAACATTGTATCAAGTACATGGTGTCTGTTCTGCCTTACAGTACAAACGCTTCCCTTCCACAATTCAATTCTATTATCTTAAACTTAAGATATGAGGTTCATGTCTAAAACAATTTTTCAATAAAATGTATATTATGCATTTTTAAATATTTTATAAAAATGCATTCTATCTGAACTGCTTATCGAATATATCAGAAGATTGTTTATCTGAGTCTAAACACAGGAAGCATCCAAACAACAGAAGGACTATGAAAACATTTTTAAGAAATGATCATTGGAAATCTACACTTCATGGTAATCCTGGAAGGGGACTCACTTCAGTGCATGATGTGAAGTGACCGGGTGATACACTGGGCTGTGAAGGCCTGTTGGGATTGTCACAGGCCCAGCCTCTAGCTTGCAGGTGCGCTGGTGCAAATGGTTTTGGATGATTACCATGACATAGGGTGGTCTTGCTGGTTGTTTATTAGTTGTGACAGTTATCAGTCATTTATATATTTTGGAAGCTAGTAGCTGTTTTGAAGTTTCAAATGGAAATTGAGAAAAAAATACATATGGGTTATGTTAAAATATCTTTTTTGCCCCATCATTTTACTCTTTTGGAGTTAAAATATCTAAATTCTAGATTTTGCAGGTAAATGATCTTTCCTTGGGGGGAACTTGCATGAAAATAAACTGAATATAGAACCATCTTTTTGATGCTTTGGAGCCTGCTCTTCTTGACTTTGAATCCCAGCTCTGCTAACAGGCTGACCTGTTTACTTAACTCTTTAAGCCTTCTCTAAATGGGTTACTACCTACCTTACAGACTCGGTGTGAGGATTAAGTGTGATACACCAAATAACATGATAGATACTCAAAAAACAGTCTCAAACACATTTGCCTAAAATATATATTTCCTGTTATTAATGTTTTTTCCACCAGGCCAGCACATTTCTGAAAATTATGTTAGCTGACAGTTTTTACTGGTTAATAAATAATGTATAAATTGAATTTGCCATATCATTTCATAGGCCCTGGGACATCTTTGAAACTCCCTGGAACTAATCAGATGGGAGGGCCTAGTCCCGCTGTCAGGTATGTATTTCTGTTTCATACCCTCTGCCACCAAATATTGACCAGATTGTACAGAAACCTTCTTTTATTGATCTTCTTTGTATTTTAATAATGTACAATCTTCACAGGCCAGTCACTCAAGCTGGAAGACCCATTACAGGATTTCTTAGACCCAACACACAAAGTGGAAGGCCTGGCACTATGGAGCAGGCCATCAGAACACCCAGAACTGCCTACACAGCTCGCCCTATCACCAGCTCATCTGGAAGATTTGTTAGGCTGGGAACGGTAAGTTCTGTCAGCCTTACCATAGCCCTGTATTACCAAAGTAGCTTGATGTAATTAATGTTACATCATTTGTTTCTACTGTTATAGTGGAGAACTATATGGAAGATTTTTGAAGGTGACTCTTTTTACTTATATTGATTTTATGATTTTTATGCACATGAAACTCAATTTATGTTTTAAGAGAAGGTTTCAGATTTCTTGTTCTATCATTTTTCTCTATAGGCTTCCATGCTTACAAGTCCTGATGGACCTTTTATCAATTTATCTAGACTGAATTTAACAAAATATGCCCAGAAACCTAAATTGGCAAAGGTATGTACTGAAAATGATTTTATGTTATGAGGAAGTGGTAAAAGTATTATCCTAACAACACTGTAGGAAATAAAAATTTGTGGAGGAAAGGCCGTGTCTTGATTGAAATGGAAATGTTTAATTAATATGTAAAATTTCTCTTAGTCTTAAGTTAAGGAAAGTCAGTCAGAAATAAAGTATATATAACATTACTATAGGAAATCCTTTTGCTTTCTTTGACAAAGAACAGTAATTTACAACAAAGAGAGCAGATATGCAGTTGCATCTTTATGGAATGAAGTTTAGAAGGTCATCTATATGCATGTATTTTTTTTCTTTTCAGCCTGTACTATTTTTAGAAAAATAATTTTCTATACTGGTAGGATTTTAGGACTGTCAAAAGGAAGATTTAAAAAAATGTGCTCCTTCTAATTAGTAATTAATCAGGCATTTCATTAAGGATTACTCAAGCCAGACAGTGGCAAGTGAACTACATTAGTAATTCTAACTACTTGAAGTTTAGATGCTCCTTTAAATTAAGGAGAAAATGAGAATGAAAGTGATAGAGAGAGAGAGAGAGAGAGTGCACGAGTTTGAGAGAGGCTGGGAGGGAAAGGAGGCTGTCCATGACCTTTCTGGTATATAAAAAACTTGGAAGTGAGTTTGGAATAATTCAGAGACAAAGCACTGATACTTTGGTGCTGAAAGTGGTTTAAACCTAGCTTAGTTTTTAGCTTTGATCTCTGAATTCTGTGCATGAGTGCTGAGCTCATTTGGAATCTCAGTTCCAATGGCATTTCACATATTTACTGAATATCAAACACTCTAGGGAAAATAAGAATGGCCACTAGCCATTCCGACTTGAAATTTACTTCAGAAAAGAAATGATGATTGGTCAACAGGGAATCAGCTTGTATTAGTGCTGATGACTTTTTTAGTTTCTTAAATGACAGCAGTCCATTTATTTCATCTAACAGAATCGTAAAGTTTTACCTTTTTTCTTTTCTCTCATGCGAGTGCAGTATTAAAAGAAAAAATGGAGTATCTGGTTCTCTACCTTTGTAGGTCATTTACTCAGGTAGCTGGATGGCTAGTTATACCATTGCTATTTTATAACCAGGGAGTGTAGTCAGTGGAGGCATTTCCCTTAAATTAATAGGCCTCCGGAACAGACCTGGTCTATGTTACTAGATTTAGATTGAACTAGATTTTGTGCTTTTTTAGTGTGTTGCAGAAATAATGCGAGGTTTTTCTGCCTTTGGTCCCCAACTTGCCTTGACTCATCAGAACTCATTTCTAATATTGGCATGTTGCTTGGGGTGTCTGTGGTGACCCCTGACACAGTCTTGAATGTTGTAACATCTTTTTCATGGTAATGATAACACCAACTGTACTTGTAACTTTTTTTTTTCTTTATAACAGAACACATGGAGGGTTAGGTATAGGTTTTTAAATAAGTGCCCTGTCCCAATATCTTTTTTCTTTTTATAATTGCCAAGTCTTCTCTGTTATACCCTTGATATCTTTTAGGGGGCCCTAGCTTCTTTGCAAGGCTAAAATAATGGTTTTATGCACAAACATACTACCACCAAGAAGTAACTCAGTAAATGCTTATTTATGCAAACGACTTGGGTGAAATATTCAAATTATGGTTCTCAGCCCAGACTGCATATTAGAGTCACCTGCACATTAAGCAAAAAACACCCCACTTTTACACTGAAACTGTACTTTGTTTCAGAAGGAGCTTATAGATTTTCCCATGTCTAAAGTGTCATCATTAATATAATCACTGTAGAATATGTAAAAAATTGGCGACTCTGTTTTATGACAATCACAAACTTGGTCTTTTAATTTGTCTCTTTTAAGTAAAACAATATGTGTAACATGAAAACAATTGCCCAGTTATTTGAGCTTTCCAGTTTGTATTCTGTAAAAGCAGGAATCAGGTGTAAATAGCCATTATTTTAAAAGAGGTGATTGTAACAAATGATGGATAGACCCTTTACTTATAAATCCCAGGTACTTTAGAGTACCTTGTTATTTTGGTTCAGTCTAGCTGCTGTCAAAATTGTCCTTGAGTTTTGATATAACAGTAGAATACTTTTGTTAAAATACAATCTAATGTATTTTTGGCATTTTTTTCTTCACAGGCTTTGTTTGAGTATATCTTTCATCATGAAAATGATGTTAAGACTGTAAGTTTTAAATTCATGCTATTTTCTTTTATTGTATTTTTTTAACTTTGGTGATTTAGATTCTGAAATGGTCTATTTATTGTCTTATAAACAGAGAAATTATTAAAGATTGAAGAATTACTAATGCTTTCAAATCCATTGTCAGTTTCAATAAGAAAATTTGTATAATATAGAAGACTGGTCCACAGAGTACCATTGCCATTGAAAGGCAGGTTATAGATAATTGAGAATAATTCATAACATACTTGTTGTTAAAGTTTATTTTTTGTACTAATAGTTAGCATTGTTGAACCATTTTTTTCTGTAGTCCATATAGTATATTACAGGTTTACTAATATGTATATTTCTGGTTTCTTTGTAGTGTGCCCCGTCCCTCCTTTAATATTTTATGATAGACAATTTCAAGAATACGCAAGTAGGGAGACAATAATCAATAATTTTGGTAGCCTCTTAACAGAGAATCTTTAGGTTATATGCATATAACTTTTCTATTGTTTGAGTTTTTACACACTAGTATGCAAATGACCAGTAACCTCACAAATTTTGTCAAATTGAATGTAGTTAATTCTGCAATGTCAAATGATAGTATTTTCCCAATAGTTCAGGGCTTTGTATCCAATTTATTAAGTGTTTAGGAAAATAAAAACATTTTCCTCAATTGTGTTTTCTCTGTGTCAGTCACTATGCTGTGTACTAGGAAAACTAATAGAAATATGGTATTTTTTCCTGACCATACACAAGCCAAACAATTTAGTTGACCAAGTAAAATTGATATAATGAAACAATTAAAGAGGCAACTGCCAAACTGAAATTATTACCAAGTAGCAAAGGGAAAAAAAATCAGAAGGTGATACTGATCCATAAAGTAAGGAGGATTTTTTTTGAAAAGGAAGAAAAATAAGTATAAAGAAAGGCTAAAAACATGGGCGGGGTATGGAATTAAAAATTAATAGGCCATATACATAAAAATGGGTGCATGAAAGAGAATTTTAGCGAAAGAAGTGACAGAACTTGAAGACAGATTCAATATTGAGGACAAAGAGAAGTCACAAGTCAAATCTGCCTCCCAAAGATAGTGTGAGAAGAATGATGGTCTTTTGAACCAAAGTGGGATAATTAGTGAAGGAAGTCAGATTGTAATGGAGCTCAGTAATTCACTTGAAGGCATTTTGAGTTTAAAATAGTGAAAGCCTATCCAAGTTAAATCCATTGCAAGTATTGTAAGACGTGGTGCTAAAATGTACCTGAGAGGCTAGGCCAGATAGAAGATGGGAGCTACCTATAATGAAGTGCTAATGAATGTGGTCATGGATGAAAATGGAAAGTAAGGTTGGGGCAACTGAGAAGTCATGCATGTTTCTGTAAATAACAGTCAGGATATGCCATTTCCACTAGGTATAAAGCTGGTCAGTATGATATGTAAAAGTATGTAATCATACGATTTTTAAAAAGAAACATCCAAATACCATTCCTTTTCATAAGTGAGTCAATCTATATAGCATAAAGCTCTATCTTGACTTTTTAAAAATTAATTCATTTATTGAAGAGATATTTATTCTTTCACTCAAGATTTTTGAGTGGCTACAGTGTGCCAGGCACCTAGCTAGGCCTTGGGATTACAGAGTATAGCAAGCAGACAAAATTTCTGCTCCTTTGCAGATTATATTCTGGTTGGTCAAGGATTGGAGATAATTTGCAAATTTAAAAATACATGACATGTCATGGGATAATAAGTACTATGAAAGCAAAAAATCAGAAAAGCATGTATGGGAATAGATAGTGACATGGCACAAGATGTTTTTTTGGATGGGGTGGGATGTGGTCAGTGAAGTCCATTTTGAAAAGACATTTAAACAGAGAACTGAATGAAGGGGGTGGGGAGTGAACCATAGGGTTACATGCAGGAAGAGCATATAAGTCAGCGAGAACTTTAAACTGCAAGGGTCCGAGCATAGAAGCATGCTTGGGTTGTTTAAGAAGTGCCTGGAGTGAAGTCTGTGAGGGTGGAAGAGTTGTAGGCAGTGGGTCCAGAAGGTAGGCAGGTCATATGCTATTTGTAGGTCATGGTGGTGATGTCTTTATTAATAGATTCATCTTGAGGTTATTGTTCTATATCTTGGCATTGATGTGGTGGTGTTGAGAAATAGAAACCACATTGAAAAAAGTAGGATTTATTCTCTGTGCTAGCTGAGTTTATATTCCAAAGATTCTAAGGATAACAGATGTTAACCTTTACGTATTATGTTACAGAATGCTTCACAGTTCTTCATATACATTGATTTTTAAAAATTTGATCTTAAACAAATAGAGCAGTGACTTTAAAATTTTTTATTTAAGCAGCAAAATCTTTTTCTTTAAGTGAAATCATATCCAGACCCTAATATGTAAAACAGACAAAAGTGGAGTCCTTGAATTAAAGCAGAAAAAGCAGACTGAGATCCACCTATTGGGTCTCCTCCTGGCTCCTCCCACCGTGCGCGTTCCTGCCTCTGAAGGACTGTTGGGCAGTTCCTAAATCAGTTTCTGAATTACCTGAGGAATATTAAAATAATGGATTTCTGGATTTATGCTAGACTTCCTGAATCAGAATCCCCAGGGGTACATCTGGTAAATCTGTTGTTAATAAAAGCTCCACAGGCAATGCTAATTTTCAGCCGGAATTGAAAAATGACTGCTGTAGAATATAGTTTGAAAACCAGTGATTAATAGAAGGCTGTAATGCTAGGCCTTCTAATGTAGGAAAATAGAGCTGGAGAGCATAAACAGGACTTGAGGGCCAGAGCGCCGGGCAGCAAACAAATGCGGAGGTGTGTCTCCTGGCTAAGTGAAAGAAATCCAGGACTTAGAGACATGGCCCAACATAAATGACACTCAAATGTATCTCACAACAAGGAAGTAATACAAAATACTGTTGAAACTGGAAGCCCCATTTATAAATTTTATATTTTTTCTCTTAGGAACAGTGAAAGTCTCTTAATACAGTCTCAATACAGGCACAAGCAACATGGAGTATAATTTCTGACTCTTTGAAATAAATCCTTATACTTCATTAATTGACAGTGCTGAGAAAATTTGTTTAAACACTTTCTTTTAGACATTTGAGTAGTGAAGAATTTAAAAAATTTAAACTAGCAAATAATACACTGGTTCACAGATTTTGTTGGGTTTGTGAGGCAACCACAAAGGAAAAAGACTTGTTCATTTATATGTATCTGTATAGCGAACAAAACCAAACCCAAAGTAAGAGGACAAAAGAAGAGTAAAAATGTACATAAGCAAGATTGAAAATTGTTAGCGCTTGTCAGATATAAAAGAGCTGATCTGAGTTTGTTAGAAAATTTTGTGTGGAAATATCCCAATCATTACATTAGAGAAAATGCCCGGAAACAAGTACATTAAAGATGTATTTTCTCAGTAGCAACAAAAATACAAATCAAAGAAATTTTGGACCTGCAATTTTCCATATATGAAATTTGAAAACAAGTGCTAGGGAGAATGGAGTAAATTGTTATACTCATATTATAGATGATATTTTAAATGGTATAAAAATGTGAGAAACAATATGATAATATTTAACAGGTAGCTATATAGTTACTCGATTGTTCCTATCATTTCACTTCTCAAGAATTTGTATCAAAAAGTAGTGCCATATTTTCAGATGTTCATTGTAGCATTAATTAGAGTAGTAAAAAACAAAAACCTGGAAAGCAACCTGAATGTTTAGTGACAGAAGATGAGTCTAGCACATTACAATAAATCGCATGCTGGAATTTTATGCAGGCTTTAAAAACCATAATTATAGAAACTAGGCAGAAACATGAGAAGTATTTATTTTATAATGTTAAGCCAACAAAAGTACACCGTTCAGTTAGAATTATAATTCTAGCATGTATATTAATGACAGATACTAGAAGGTATTACCTAAAAATGGAAACAGGTAATATTACAGGGTTAAGATGTATTAATTCTACACATATTTGTTCAATGCCCACTTTGTGCCAGCAGCTTGGATTATAACAATAAAAAAAGCTATTCCTCGGCTGCCCTCTGTCTCTTTGTCTCTGTCTCTCTGTCCCCCTGCTCTCCCTGCTCTCGTGCTCTCTCTCTCTCTCTCTCTCTCTCTCTCTCTCTCTCTCTCTCTCTCTCTCTGTCTCTCTCTGTCTCTCTCCCCACCTCCCTCTGGGGCAGCCACTCTCTTTCAGATAATAAAATCTCTTGTGAGGGAAAAAAAAGAAAAAGAAAAAGCTATTCCTTATGGCCCTAATGGAGATTATCTAATTTTACCTTTTCTTTTTTTTCAAAATTTTCAATAATAATGTTATAATAACTTTTCACTTATAAATATAACTACAGTTTAGGGGCAACAATAAATTAAATGTTTGTAATTGTACCCTCCTTAATATTTTAATCTGCTTACCAGAATGCATATGTACTATTTCATAGAACTTAAAACTATTTGTTTTCTTTTTGTCTCATGAAAAGCACAAATTGTTGGTTCCTCTCTTTTCCTTTTTATTAATTTATTGATTGATTTTAATTGATTGAATTATTCTTTAAAGCAATGATTATTGTGTGCCTATGTATTGGTGCTGTGATGGATGCTAGGAGTTTGAGTAGGACAGATGCCGTGTGTCTGTTTTCTTACTCTGTTATGGGCTTGCCACATCATTATAGTCTGTTATGGATCAGATTGTTCTATTAAAATGTCATTCTGGATTTTACCACAAATTTTATTTTCTGAATGGAAGAAGGATTTAGATAACAAGCGCAAAGCATATATTGTTATTCATTTTGTATGTTTTGTAACTTTAGCTGGAAAAAGAAGAAAGGAATTCTGTTTTTTAACATGGTTAAGAAGTCAAAGATGCTTTTGTTATTACTTTGGGTGGCTTCCAAATTTCTTTTTAAATAAACTATTTCACACAAGTATAGAGAATTATTGACAAATAAAATACCATGAGGTGGCACTTAAATGTTAAGAAAGAGTAAGATCAATCTTCCATGAAAAACTATGTTTCTTTGAGTTCTTAATGGTTTTTCCAATTTTGGAGGAAAGACTGACAAAATTGAAGAGTCTTTTGTGTTGCTGGTTCTCACGTAGGTAACTATAGAGAATATTATTAAGTAATATGTAAATACTACGAAAAGTAAAGTTGGTTTATAAACAGTACTTCTGCCTTTGAGTTCTTGATAACTCCCTTTCCTCTCTCCTTGTGCCTTTTGGTGCAGTGTTGGCAGAATTGATGAAACTAAAGTGACCTGTGGGTTAGTGATTCTGGAATCTTTATTTCTGTATGCACTTTAACTTCATCAGCCTGAAGTTGTTGTAACTATAACAATAGTAAAAAGATAATTGTATTTTTATACATTAGTGGTTGAAGCATTGTTACTTAGGAAATTCATTGGGCTGCTCAGTTGGATGTATTCACAAACATGTTGCCTAGATCTGTCAAGATCGCCTCTACTTAGGGCTTTTTATAAACTTATGGCCTTTATATGACATTCTAGGACTTTATTAATATCTAGATATTATATTGATTAAATTATTCAAAGATCCTTAAATAATAAGTATGTGGTCATTTATTTTAAAAAACTGGGAAAGACTTTAAAGAAATACACATCGTCTGTCATCACTTTAACATTTATAAAATTTTAATAGCTTTTAATTATGAGTCTTGCAATGACAGTTTTCTTTGATCTTTAAGTTATGTTCAATATAAATCAGGAAACAAAGAACTGATTCAATCAACAAATACTTCCTGAGTGCCTCCTAGCAACATGGCAACATCCCGGGACAGCAGAGATGAGTAAGAAGGGCGCCTGTCCTCAGAGAACTTAAGGTCCATTTGAAATGGTCACTAATAGTTTTGCCTAGTGCAGCCTCAGGATTCACATAAAGAATAGCCATCAAAATGAATTTATTTACCATTTTTATTCCATATCAATAATTCATATTAATTTCCTTAATTGGCTTAGCACAAACAGGGGTCCTACATAGAAAGCTTTTCAGGACTGTATCTGTAAATCAACAGCCTGTGATAAGCACTAAATCTAACCTTGGGAAATTAGACTAGGTAAAAAAGTTAAGAATGACATTTTTCTGAAAAATTGAATGTTATATTAAACATGAGAATGAGTATTATCTATTTGCTGGAAAAGGTCTTTATAAACATGAAGTTAAAATAGTAATATGTTCATATATTTGTAATGTACTCTTGAATTGAGCTGACTGAAAATGTTCTTCTAGTATTTCCCAAGATAATGCTAATTGAAGTTATACTTTTTTCCTTACTTTTTGCTTTCATTTTTATTCCTGGCTTAGAGGAAAAAAAGAAAAACAAGCTTATAAAAGTAGTGTGTGGCTTGTTCTTAATTTACATAGCTTTCAAGTTAGATGTTGGTTGTTCAAGTCTATTAGAACCTCAGCATGGTGACACCATTTTTTAAAATAAATACTTTTCATATTTAGATATCTCCCCTAGAGCGAGGGAGAATGGGAAACACAAGGAAAAGTTATTAATTTTGCAGTAGGAGAATCAAGGCATTCTTCTGAGATTTCACTTCAAAAAGAGTTCATATTAAGAAATGCACAATAATATGGGATACATTTTGAGATAACAGAACTGCAAATCTAAGAGTTACTTTAACTGAGCTCTTGGATATCATGATTATATTAACACTGACCAAAGAATAAAAGCTTTTCAGCCTTGAGAGAAAGAATAAGAAATTTTTTTTAAGAAATCAGAGTTCTTTTAAAACCATTAACCTAAGTTTTTTATTCACCAAATTTTTACATGAGCTTCAGATTTGTGTAAAGGTTAATTTGCTTTCCTCTTTGTCCAAATGGTTTCCATTTCCTGTGTATAAAATCCTACTTCCAATTTAGTCATCTCATGTCCAATCTTGGATAAACACTAGAAGGAACAAACTGTAGGACATTAGAGAGAAAGGGATAAACACACATCAAATATGAAAGCAATTAAGATCTTTTGTAGTCTGCAGCAAACGGAAGTCTGACTTAGAATTACTGGAATGTAAGGTGAGGTCAGAATAATGGTACAATGGTTGGTGAAGACAGTGGTTGCCCACATACCCTCACTCCTTCTGCTCTTCATGCTCCCATTTTCCAAACCTTTTTCTGTCTGCTTTTGGATTTTTCTCTCTTTCTCTACATCTGTCATTAAAGTGGGGCCTGCAGTTGGACCAGGTTAACACACCAAAGGCTTGATTGCCACTGAGGTTAGAGGCATTTTATATCATTAGACAATTACCAATGGTAGGCAGAGGATAAACATTTCTGGTTGTTTAATATTAATTTCATACCTTATATATTAAAATTGTATTCAGATATATTATACATCTGCCTCCCTTTGATCAATTTTTGCTTCTCATTTGCTGTCAGCCCTCTGGTCTGGAACTGACTATTTAGGGAAAATTGGCATGGCCATCTGGAAACATGAACAACTTAAGCTTCTGTCGGATTTCTAATGCATGTTTTGATTGATACTAATTATGTGCTTTATTTCATTATTTATTGTTTCTGTTTATTGTTAGAGAATAAAATCCTAATCTAAAATGAATTGTTTTCAAAGGCTTTGGATCTGGCTGCCCTTTCCACAGAGCATTCTCAGTACAAGGACTGGTGGTGGAAAGTGCAGCTTGGAAAATGTTACTACAGGTAATTATTTGTGAAGGGTTTAGAAGTGGCAACATATTTTAGAGCCTCCAATTTGATAATGTTTTTGGGAGCCAGTTAGATTTCTAACTGCAGCTTGGAAAACGTTACTACGGGTAATTATTTGTGAAGGGTTTAGAAGTGGCAACATATTTAGAGCCTCCAATTTGATAACTTTTTGGGGGGCGCGTTAGATTTCTATATAAGAAATGAGAATGATCTCTTTGACTTACTTGAGAAAGCATTTACTTAGCCACATGGTAGCACTAAGAACTGTTGCTTTTAGAATGTAGAAGTTTAGAGCTGGGAAGGGGAATCTTGGAGACCATCAGATCCTACATCCTTTTCCAGATGAGGAAGCTGAGGCCAGAGAGAGGCTGTGATTTGCAGCAGGACCTAATTAGTAACAGACCTGGGACTAGATTTGAATCTCTTGATTCCCACCGCACTCCTCTTGGCTCTATGTCTTCTTTATTTCCACTGATGACTCACATATGTGAAGTGCTTTACAGTTAATAGATAGCTTTACATTTTGTCATTAAAATGTCACAGCACCTTGGAAGTAGCTGCTATTATTAGCCTTTTGTTCAGATGAGAAAAACGGAGCCTCAGAAAGATAATGACTTGTCCACATTCATATAGTTAGTAAATGGCAGAACAGAAATTGGAGCTCAGCATTCTGATGGCAGTTTTTTACTGTTTGCACAATTTCAGTGTTTCTCTATGTATCTGAATAGTTTTACATTAATTCACTTAATGTTTGAGCACATTTTAAGCAAATTAATTGAGACATCAGAAAAATTGTAATTACTTTTACAACTGTTACACAGCAACCAGTAGATCTTGAACTTGCTGCTTGATACTGAAATGCACTTGGAACATTTGAAAAATAGAGACAAGTGAACAGTTGTATTTTACAAAAATAACCATGTCTTTTATTATTCAAAAACCAGGCAGATTGGCTACCTTGGGTATCCTTCAATATGTTTAGTTGTTAGTCAGACACTGTAAGAATAAAAATGATGCTTAGTCTTCCATTGAAATTAAGACTATTTTCCATTTAGATATTTCACATAGAATTCTATTTTTTCCTACTGTTAGATTGAGGAAGTATTTTCTGCTAAAAGGTAATCTTAGGCCACTAAAACATTAAACTTTTAGGAATATAATTACTGAAGAAAATCTTGGAATCTTTAGCTTTTAAGCAAAACCTCCAGAAATCTTTAATAATTAAAGAAAAGCACAATTCAGATACCTTCTGCCATTCATATAGGATGGCATTTAATGGAAGGCACTTTGTCATATTAATTATTGTTCTTCTCCTTAATAGCTTATCAACTTTATTATGTGTTCAGCATTCATTCATTTTTTATAACGGAAGTCTGACTTAGAATTACTGGAATGTAAGGTGAGGTCAGAATAATGGTACAATGGTTGGTGAAGACAGTGGTTGCCCACATACCCTCACTCCTTCTGCTCTTCATGCTCCCATTTTCCAAACCTTTTTCTGTCTGCTTTTGGATTTTTCTCTCTTTCTCTACATCTGTCATTAAAGTGGGGCCTGCAGTTGGACCAGGTTAACACACCAAAGGCTTGATTGCCACTGAGGTTAGAGGCATTTTATATCATTAGACAATTACCAATGGTAGGCAGAGGATAAACATTTCTGGTTGTTTAATATTAATTTCATACCTTATATATTAAAATTGTATTCAGATATATTATACATCTGCCTCCCTTTGATCAATTTTTGCTTCTCATTTGCTGTCAGCCCTCTGGTCTGGAACTGACTATTTAGGGAAAATTGGCATGGCCATCTGGAAACATGAACAACTTAAGCTTCTGTCGGATTTCTAATGCATGTTTTGATTGATACTAATTATGTGCTTTATTTCATTATTTATTGTTTCTGTTTATTGTTAGAGAATAAAATCCTAATCTAAAATGAATTGTTTTCAAAGGCTTTGGATCTGGCTGCCCTTTCCACAGAGCATTCTCAGTACAAGGACTGGTGGTGGAAAGTGCAGCTTGGAAAATGTTACTACAGGTAATTATTTGTGAAGGGTTTAGAAGTGGCAACATATTTTAGAGCCTCCAATTTGATAATGTTTTTGGGAGCCAGTTAGATTTCTAACTGCAGCTTGGAAAACGTTACTACGGGTAATTATTTGTGAAGGGTTTAGAAGTGGCAACATATTTAGAGCCTCCAATTTGATAACTTTTTGGGGGGCGCGTTAGATTTCTATATAAGAAATGAGAATGATCTCTTTGACTTACTTGAGAAAGCATTTACTTAGCCACATGGTAGCACTAAGAACTGTTGCTTTTAGAATGTAGAAGTTTAGAGCTGGGAAGGGGAATCTTGGAGACCATCAGATCCTACATCCTTTTCCAGATGAGGAAGCTGAGGCCAGAGAGAGGCTGTGATTTGCAGCAGGACCTAATTAGTAACAGACCTGGGACTAGATTTGAATCTCTTGATTCCCACCGCACTCCTTTTGGCTCTATGTCTTCTTTATTTCCACTGATGACTCACATATGTGAAGTGCTTTACAGTTAATAGATAGCTTTACATTTTGTCATTAAAATGTCACAGCACCTTGGAAGTAGCTGCTATTATTAGCCTTTTGTTCAGATGAGAAAAACGGAGCCTCAGAAAGATAATGACTTGTCCACATTCATATAGTTAGTAAATGGCAGAACAGAAATTGGAGCTCAGCATTCTGATGGCAGTTTTTTACTGTTTGCACAATTTCAGTGTTTCTCTATGTATCTGAATAGTTTTACATTAATTCACTTAATGTTTGAGCACATTTTAAGCAAATTAATTGAGACATCAGAAAAAATTGTAATTACTTTTACAACTGTTACACAGCAACCAGTAGATCTTGAACTTGCTGCTTGATACTGAAATGCACTTGGAACATTTGAAAAATAGAGACAAGTGAACAGTTGTATTTTACAAAAATAACCATGTCTTTTATTATTCAAAAACCAGGCAGATTGGCTACCTTGGGTATCCTTCAATATGTTTAGTTGTTAGTCAGACACTGTAAGAATAAAAATGATGCTTAGTCTTCCATTGAAATTAAGACTATTTTCCATTTAGATATTTCACATAGAATTCTATTTTTTCCTACTGTTAGATTGAGGAAGTATTTTCTGCTAAAAGGTAATCTTAGGCCACTAAAACATTAAACTTTTAGGAATATAATTACTGAAGAAAATCTTGGAATCTTTAGCTTTTAAGCAAAACCTCCAGAAATCTTTAATAATTAAAGAAAAGCACAATTCAGATACCTTCTGCCATTCATATAGGATGGCATTTAATGGAAGGCACTTTGTCATATTAATTATTGTTCTTCTCCTTAATAGCTTATCAACTTTATTATGTGTTCAGCATTCATTCATTTTTTAGTTCACTCACTCCGTAAAGTATTTATGAACAGCTACTCTGACAGGCACAGAGGTTACAAATCTTTATTAGACAGTCCCTTCCTTCAAATGGTTAACAGTTGAATGGGGGACAGAGGACAGTAAACAATTACAAGCATGACTCCCAGGATGGTGGAAGCTAGTGGGAGGTGCAGTAGGAGCCCAGAGAAAGCCCCTGACTTTGACTGGAGAGATCAAGGGTGGATTACCAGAGGATGTAGTGCCAAACTGGCTTGTGTCTCTGCTCCTAACCAGTAAGTTCTACTGGTTCTTCCTCTGCAGTAGCTCTCATGGTTGTTCCTTCCTATCCATTCCCACTTCAAGGCCCTGCTTCTGGCTTTAAGTGCCATTTGTCTGAATTGTTGCATTGGCTTGTCTGGGTTTTCTGCCTCTGTTGTCTTGCCTCATCAGTCCTTCCTAAATACCTCTGTCAGAGTAACTGTTGTGAAAGAGCAGCTGTTGTTGGATTCTTTGGTTAACCTCACTACTTCTTGAATGAAGCCTGGATTTTAGGTATGGCATCCATGTTCTTGTGCCAGCCTGCATATTTGCCCATGCCTCTCACCTTTATTGTGTCCTCGTTTTCAGTGAAACCTGACAGCTCAGCATCCCCCACATGCCATGCATTTTGCTCTCTGTGCTCAATGCTGATAGTTTGCTTCTGTCTGAGGGCTCCCCTCCACCCCTACTCCTGTCTCCCCCTGAGGTATCCCCTTCACCCCTACTCCACCCTGTCTAGCTGGCAAAATCTTGCCTGATACTTCCTCTCTGACACTGTCTTGGTTCATTCCTACTCTGTGCTCAAAAAGCGCTTTAATTTTTCTTATTGGCCATAATATGATTATTTGTGAACATGTTTTGTTTTACTCTTTATTGGTACCTTTAGGATGTGGTTTTTATCTTCATTTCTGCATCTCCTTACCATCATGAACTGTGTGTGCATGTGGTGTTTGACAGTGTTTATTGAATTAAATCAGAGAGAAAAAGTCTGCGGTTGTTGAGAATCATCTCTGGGTCTGAATCTGATATTGGCTCATGTTGCACAAATTTGACTGATGTTTTCATTATTTCTAAACTTTCTTTTTACATGGCTCACCCCATTTTCTTTGCACAAGAGCCCATGCGGTAAATTCCTTTTTGGTGGTACTAGAAGAAATTAATCTCTTGAAGATGCAGTAATAAAAAAAAAACATATGACTCATTCTTCCTTCTTTTCTTTGGTTTCCAGGTAGCTCAATAGCTCTGATTCCTTTATTGCTTGTGTTTAGTTTGTGTTTTTTTTTTAATTGATTTTTGTTTTCATATTCTTACTTTGTCTTTTTATTGTAATCCCTTTTAAATCATTTTTGGAAAGAGATAATTTATCAGATAAAAATATACAGACTCTCGTGGATAATTAAGTGTTCATGGTATCCAGTGACTGACTGAACTTCAGGCATATGTTTGACCTGAATGTTCAGTTGAAGCTTTGTATATAAATACTCTGTTGTTCATAACTTCAGAGTTCTTTGGTAATGTTTTATGAATACTCCCTGTAAAAGCTGTGGGATCTTTGAAGAGGTGGCGGCTTCGGCTGTGTCACACATCCTCTAACTTTAGGCCAGTTTTTTGGGGTCACTTTTAACCCCTTTAATCCTACTTCTCCAACAGCTATTTGGGGAGGGCCACACCAGTGGTTGAGGCTTAGGTTAGGAAAAAAGCAAAGCTGTTCTTTCAATCCTTTAAATGAAAGTAGCACAATGGAAGATTCTGTATATTGTTCTGACTTTATTGCACAATAAAAGCATTATAAAGTGCCTAAGATGAGTAGTTATGAGAAAGCCCAACAGATCTTTAAATAAATAACTTTATTTATTTAAATTTATAACCATTAAATAAATTTAATGATTAATTTAGTGGTAACACAGTGTTCCCTGGGCAAAAGAAATGGGTGCAAGGAACAAATCTCAAATTCCTAGACTAGGACAATCAGTATCAGAGACTTAAAAAGGAAAAGAAAATGTTTCCAGAGTAATAAAATGGTCTGGCTCTATTCCTCAAGTGGCTATTACTACTTACATAAACTATTTAAGAAGGGCGTTAAAAATGGGCTTTTGTCCAAGAGCAGATGTTTTCAAAGAAATGTTGTCCTTCAGTTCTTCCAGTAAAACAGGAGACCCTGAGCACGTATTCAGGTCTCTGCCATATGTTCAGCTGATCTTAAGCTCTTTGGGAGGGCAGCTGGTATGCCCTGGCTCACTGGCAGCTACGGGCTTACCTAGTCTTGCTGTGACTAGGTTTCACACGGACTCTTCACATGCCATTCTGAGGGTTGGACAGACGGTGAATATGGGCGATAGGCAACTTTTTGCTAAACTTTATAAACATGCATGTTAATATTAATTTATGTGTATGACATTACCTTCTTCAGTACATGCTTACTCTTTGAGATGCAGTTTACCTCTGTTCATATCCTTAGTGTGTGAATAAGTGTTGTGGTGTTTATTTTTAAGTTGAATGTCTAATTTTTTGAATGGCTGTTCTTAGGCTAGGAATGTATCGTGAAGCAGAAAAGCAGTTTAAATCAGCCCTGAAGCAGCAGGGAATGGTAGATACATTTCTCTACTTGGCAAAAGTAAGTAACTATTCTTAATTTGAGTCAATTCTGTCTTCTCAGAGTAAATGTTTAAATTCTGGTTAGTGCATGGGGAAAATAGCCAGTTTCTTCAAGAATATTTGGCAAGTTAAGGTGTTCATACTTATTTTTCTTTATAGCAAGGGGAAAAGTAGGGACATATCTGGAGGGTAGCTGTCTCAGGAGAAGTTGATTGCCATGAGAAATAAGAAAACTCCTTTGAAAGATTGTTGATTAGAACAGGAGAAAATGCCACTATCTTACCACCCATGGGTAACAGACCCAGAGGGTCCCTCTTGTCCACAACACACTCATTTCCCACCTAAGCAGGCTGTAGAGAACAGGCATTGTTTTTATGTAGGTCCTTTATTTCTTGACTTTACCATAATAACAAAAACAACATTTACCCTTTATTGAGCACCTACTCAGTGTAAAGTATTGTGTCAGGTCCATTCCATATGCAGTGTAATTTAACCCTCATAGCAACCCAGCAAGGTAGGGTTTCACATTTCCTTTGGACTCCTCAGGAAAAGAAGACTTAAAGAGGAGAAGTAGGTTTTTCAGGGTCACTTGGCTTTTAAGAGCCAGCATGTCATAATCTTACATGAAACTGTCATTCTCTATTTTAGAAATTTCTGTTAGGTATATCGTTTATCCATGCCTGCATCTGAAGTATTTAATTCAGTAGAAGCCATTAAGCGCTAAGTTTCTCAGCTCCCTGACTCCATTGCTCACAATTTGTTTCTCCTGTTTCTGGGAGTCCTTTTCTTAACACACCTTCTCCCAGGCTCTCCACTGCTGCTCTTTCCCAGACTTCCGTGTTCCACGGCTCATCCTTTCTCCTGCATCTTCCCCTTCAGTCTCATAATTGGTTCCTCAGTGCCAGCATATAGACATACTCATGCCTGTCCTCTTCTAAGATCTTCCCTTGTTCCTTTCTTGTTTAGTTACTGCTCAGTCTCTGTGAAAATAGTAAGCCTACAATAAGCATTTACTGATGGGATAAATAAATGAATGCTTCATATACAACATGTGGAGAGAAAACTGTAACATCATTATTGAAATTAATGCTCACATTTCTAACAACTTTTTACTGTGATGTCTAGGAGATAATTTGTTACTAGACAATGATTACAAACTTGTCATAACAAATACTGTTTTTTAAAAAATGAATACTTTTATTCAAATGCGTTTTGCTTTTAGGTTTATATCTCATTGGATCAACCTGTGACTGCTTTAAATCTTTTTAAACAAGGCTTAGATACGTTTCCAGGAGAAGTAACCCTACTCTGTGGAATTGCCAGGATCTATGAGGTAAGGTTTTTATTATTCAAAAAGTTGATGTAAAATTGAGGTTCATGCTACTTCAGTAAGCTTATCATCCCTTGGGGTCCAAGCAAGGAGAACAATTTTTAAAATTATGATTGGTAGCCTGTGGTTTACCAATAGAATAGGATATTTTAGCATATGCATTTAGTCACACTAAGTCTTTATTTTGAAGTATTTCAAACATACAGAAGATTGTAGAGGATGGCATGGGATAGGGATCTAGTTTCCCCTTATATAGACAGCTGTTTGTTCTAGCACATTGTTTTCCCAAGGTCTGTAAGGTCCAATATCAATGTTTTTTTGTATAGATAGTAGATACATTTTGGGGCTTTGTATTCTGTTCTCTTGGTCTGTTTTTCTATTCTTGTAACAATATTGTACCATCTTAACTCCTGTAGCCTTGTAATATTATGTGGTAGCTCACTTTGTTCATCTTTGTTAGGAATATCTGGGCTATTTTCAACTTTTGCTCATTCTTAGAAATTTTAGAGCCATGTTGTCAAATTCCATGAAAAGCCCCATTGAGAGAGCCTCCCTGCTGCCTAATTACTATAGCTTTACAGTAATTCCTGATGGCAAGTTGGGCAGATTCTGCCACCTGTTCTTCGCAGTTGGTTATTTTTGGCCCTTTGCTTTTCCATATTGATTTTAGAATTGACTTATCAAGAACCATTAAAAAAAAACTACTGCAGACATATTAATTGGAATTGCATTAAATATATAAACGGTGTGGGAGCTGCCTTTCTTCCCACTCTTGATAAGATACAACCCTCCATTTACTTAGGTCTTCTTTTGTGCTTCAATGACTATTTTGTAATTAGCTCTATAAAGATGTTTTGTTAGGAGTCCCCCGAACCACTCTGACATTCAATGATTTATTGGAAGGACTTGGGACTCAGCATACAGTGGTGCTCACAGCCAACATTTATTTTAGCAAAGGGATACAAAACAAAATCTGTAAAAGGAAAAGGCACATGGGTCAAAGTTCAGAGGAAACCAGGCTTCCAGATGTCTTCCCCCAGTAGAGTCACATACAACACACTTAATTCTTTGAGGAACAGGTTGTGACAATGTGTGTGAATTGCTGTCAGGGAAGCTCATGAGAGACTTGACATCTGAGGTCACTGCTGGGGTCTTGTTGTATAGGCATCCTCTGCCTGTCATGTACCCAGATTCCAGACTCCAAAAAATAAAGCACATGTATTCATGCACCACATCAAGTTTATATTCCACATTGTTTGTACAAACAGTGGAAGGGGTAGTGAGCCACTTGTATCATCTGAGGAGAGTTTTATATTAATAGAGGGAACCCACCAAGTTTTTAGATGTCAGTTAAGGACCATTAGAAAGGCTTGCAAGTAGGCCTTTCTAAGAATAGCAGTTTCAGACCTGTTCTGTTAACTCTGTTCTGCACAGATCTATTTCTAGGGAATCACTGTGGATGGAATCTTTTTTTTTTCTATTGCATTTTCTATTTGATTATTTCTGGTGAGAAGGAATACATAAATTTTTTCTAGCAACCTGGCTAAATACTCTTTTAAGTTTTCATGTCTTAGATTCTCTTAGATTTCCTATGTAATATCCTCATCATCTGTAAATAGTTTAATCTCTTCATTTCAGTTGTTTTGTCACTTTTTAGAAAAGTATCTTACGTTTAGTACTTAAAGTCGAATATTTACAAGAAACATCTCTGTTCTCTTTTAATTTCCTTGAAATGCTAGGGAATAATATTTAAAATTTATTTTGTTAGAAGAAGAATGGAAGGCAGTGACAGTTGCTATATCTGGATGGTAGTATATGAATGATTTTTATTTTTTTCTTTATACTTTCTCCAAATTTTCTGTAATGAGCATGCATTGCTTTTAAAATAAAAAGCAGGTTATATTTTTAAATTGTCTAAAAAGATTGTTTCCCCATTTGAAATATAATTTTGGTAAACATAGAAGACTTTGATTATTCATTGAAAATGCTATGTCGTATCTCTGTTCTTACTTGTGTGGCCCTAAAATTGAACGCAAACAAAATTTTGACCAAGTTTAGATAGGAAATCAAACAGAATTGATTTTTGAAAGCAGTGTAATTCATGCGCAGTGATGACTATCTTGATACAATCCGAGCCCTTTGACATTTTGGGCTCTGCTTGTACACACTTACGTCTTCCTGCACTTCTCTTGTTAGGCAGGAACTGCTGGCAGAGAGCTGGGGAATTAACGTGGCTGCTGGTCAGAAGAATTCCTTTTGAGCCTCTGTTACAGGCACTGTTGCTGTGGCTGGGATGAGATGGCTCTGGAGCAGATTCCCTAATCAGTTACCTTTTTCTTTTCCGGCTCCGGGTCTGGCCAGGAGTTAGAGGAACATTCCCTTTTATAAGAGTGCAGTGGACAGCTTTGTGAGAAAGTAGAATGGCATGGCACTCAAAGGAGGAAAGAATTGGAGAGGAAAGCCTCATAGCTGTGAGGACGGTATGTCATCCACAATTGGTGCGCTCAAGGACTAAGCCCATCTTTGTCTGGGTAAAGGTTACATGAGTGCATGTGCATGTCAAAATTCATCAAACTAGACACTAAGATTTGTGCACTTTATTGTATTACCTCAATGAAAAAAAAAAGAAAACAGAGCTAAGCATAAACTTTAAAGAGTCAGATGCAGTATTTCTCCTTGAATTTACATAGTTAATTTCCCTTAGGCCGAAGTTTACAAAAAGACAGATATCCTGCATGTTCTTTTTCTTTTTATGGGACTGTGGATTTAGAGTTAATTAGTAAAGTTTGTTCCTTAGCTTTACAACCCAAATGCCTTTAGGGGTTTTTCTTCTGGAAACGAGGTGTTTCCTCTGAGCAGTTGTGGGTTTATCATACTTTTCTCTGGAGAGACTCTCCTCCTTTGTATTCTCTTTATTTATCACTTTGATTTTGGTCTGGTATCTTTTAAATGTTCCCAGTTTTTACATGAGCATGTTGTGCTGCCTGTTGTTCACTGTTTTGTAGAGAAAGTCGTTTAAAATGATTTATCCTGCCTAAATTTATTTGGTTGTGGTTTTAATTTTTCTTGAGGCATTTTGTTTATCCACCCAAAAGGCAAGTTGTCTGTTTGAGCTCTTCTTTGTTCAAGGTGTTTGAGATGAGAAACGTTACCCTAGGAAATACTATTCTAATGGCCCTCGAACTTGACTGTGTATAAAAATGACTTAGGGAATGTTTGAGAAGTGTGGCCAGTCCTCTGATCCTCTGCGTACTGAATCAGATGTCCTAGATGGTAGAACTCAGGCTTTTGAAGGTTTAACAAGTTCAATAGGTGTTTCTGATGTAAGAGTTTGAGAATCACTGCAACATTCACTTCCTGAAGTTATTTGTAACTTTATTTTAAATAACTAAAAATCTAATTATATAGTTAGTATCTTGTGAATTGGTTCAAAAATAACCACTGTAAAAATCATGTAAATGATACCACTATTATTTATATACTTGAAGTGACATTTATGTATTTGAAAATATTTCTAAAAATCTACATTCATAAAATGGACTTGGAGCTACTATAATTTAAACAGTTCTGATGCAGGAATAGATTAAAGGGCCAAAACAATCTATATTTGTTCATACATATGAAAATTTATAATGTGATAAATATTGTCTATTAAACCAATTGAATTATTAAACAGATAAAAAATAGAGCTGAATGAGTAATGATTTCTTATACTAAAAGAATCTGCCACTGCCAGCTGACTCAAAGATTTAAAACCATAAAAGTTCCAGAAGAAAATACAAATGAATTATTTGTATAAATTTGGAATGGGAAAACCTTTCTAGGCATGACACAAAGTCAGAAAGCCATATTAGAAAAGATTGATAAATTTGAGAAGTTAAAATTTTCTATGTAGTAAAAGCACATATACAAGTAAAACCAGAACAACCCAAAAAAAAAAGTAAAAATATCAAACAGGGGAAATATTTTCCATACTTGAGACAGACAAAAGACAACTTTTAATTTCCTCAATCTGTACATTGCTTAAAAATTGCTGGATTTCAGGTGGTTTGCAGGTTGGTGGAGAATTACACACACCCACACAAAGGTGCTTGCACACAAACTTAAAACTTACGGAAACTAGGTGTTTCCTCGGAGCAGTTGTGGCTCAGAATTGTGGCATGGCTTTTTCATAGGCCCTTGTTTTCCTACCAGCTTACACAGAGCTGTTGACCGTCTCGATGCAAGTACAGCCACCCCAGAGGTGACACAGCAGCCCAATTCCAGCTGCATGTCAGCTACACCACTGCCCTTTCGTGGAGCTTGGTGACGCCATTTGGGAGAACTTAAGCAAACCGTCTATGCTTTTGCTCTGAAGGGAATGTTTATACAGCTGGGCTTTCCTGGGGTTTGGACTGAAAACATCATCAGCACAGGCTCATTTCATCTAGAAGGAGAAAGCAGAGTCCGCACCCAGGACTCTGAGCCGCATCTCTGCCTCCAGCTCCTTGTGTCCAGGCAGGCAGCCTCCCACCCAGTCCCCACATACCCACAAACCAATAATAGAAGGACAACACCAGGCAAGACATGACTTAGCAGTTCACAGAAAAAGAAATATCAGTATTGGTATGTTAAATGCCTAACCTCAGTCAGAATAAAGACATAAAAGCTAGAACAGTGTGCCACTTTTCACTTAATCAGGTTGACAAAAATGGGTAAGTTACATGGTGTCTATGTAAGGATAAAATGAAAGTTCCTGTGGCCAGGATTCTCCCCTGGCCCTGGCTGGTTAGCTCACTACACACATGTGGGCAATATGTTGTTATTGACTCTATATAAAGAGCTCCGCCCAGTGCTCTGGGCGACACAGTGGCACGGCTGCAAGGCTGCAGGATAGCAGAGCAGAGGCGGGAGTGGTGGCAGCTCTGAGGACAGAGGCCCAGGGGCAGAGACTGGCTTCCTGCATACAGACTTGCTCTGAGGGGATGGGATTTTACTGACTGACCTGCCACCATGGAAATAAAGTTGGGTATAACCCTTTCACCCCAAGAACGTTCTACTGTCATTTCTTTGGTCACACTAAAT